CCCTGCCTGCTTAGGGGGAATGGTTTTAGTCCTGTATTTTGCTCTGCATTTCCCAAGACACTGATCTGTGCCAGGCCCTTCAAAGGCTGCAGAGCTGAGGAGCTGAGCCCCACAGGAGTGAACATTCAGGTGGTAAACGAGAGGAGATGAATCCAGAAAAGTACAATAGACTTGAATGAAGTGAGAGGCTTGTGTAGGTTCATTTAAGCAAGAGATGTGTAACTGCCCTTAAGAAATAATTGTTAAGGAGAAAGAGAGAAGGGAATGGGAAGACTTAAAGAACCTGAAATAATTTAAGATGCTAAAATTAATGAGTTTCTGCTTTGGTGCCCATCCTAGCACCCTGAAGAACAATCCTGTATCTCAATTTTCTATTTAACTACTAATGTACTGTCTCCATAAAAATGATGGAAATCTAATGAAGTAGGAGCAGCACAAGATGCCCCTTCCATCCACCTCTTTTTGAGAAGAAGATAGGAGTGTGTGAGTGCTTCCAAGCAGGGAGTGGATTAGATACTTCCCTTGCTGAGCTCTGTGGGATGCTGCAGCAGGGCAGGACGTGCTGCCTGCAGTCACCCAGACAGGAGATGAACAATGTCCATGTGGGAGGCAATGACCCAGACCTGCAGCTACACTGGGGGGCTTTTGGTAGCAGAGGTCCATGTTGTGTTACCCACTGCTGCCAGTAGCAAGGTTTTGGAGTAAAGAATGGGGTATTGAAAGAGATTGTCTGTCTTTGGCACAGGGATAAGAACTATGTTTTATTAAGTAATGGTAGTACAGTACAAAAATATGATTCTATACAATCTGTGAAAAATATGGCACCTTTGAAAATAGCTTTTTCTCCTTTCATATGTTCCTTTCTTTTTAAAAATATGCATTCTAAATGTTTCTAACCTTTTTTCCACCAGCATTAGGAAACCAAGGTCTTTAAATCACAGTCAAGATAAAGGGCAATCAACAGTGTAATTTGAATTGTCTTTGATTTGCTTTAAAATTAAAGATCTTAGAAGGGGCAAAAGAATAAGAAAAAACTTCCGGAAAAGTCTGAGGAAAACAAAACAAAAAATGTTCCTGTTTAGAGGCTGTGAGAATATTCAGCATTTGAAATTGTTTGATGCTTTTAGGAGCAAAGTCCCCCAGCCCTGACCAGCAAAGGCCTCTAGGACAGGAGAATTAGGGCAGTACCAGAGCCACGGAGCAGCTGTTCACAGGCAGCTGGTGCTTGGCCAGGGTCAAGGCCAAGCCCTGCAATCTGCAGCAGCCCACATGCTCTCTGCTCTGCCCTGGACCCTGTTCAGCTCCTCTCTGATTTCCATGGTACCATGATCCCAGATGGAAAGCCACTTTAATCAGGAATTAAAGTGGGAAAAACTCTTCTACCTGATCAAAAAATAGTTTATCCAGCTTTTTTTTTTATTTATTCTCAACAGTTATATTTATGTCTAAGGAAAAAGAATTCCTGCTCATGAAGTGATAAACCTCCAGCAACATCTGGAAATAATATTATTTGGGATACAGCTCTCTTTTTCCAAAGAATCCAACTGAATTAGGACCTGATTTTGTCTCTTTACTGCCAGATCAAACCTCTGTTTTATTCAGAGGTTTTTCTTCTGAGCCTTGTTCTTAAGAAGAGATAATAATTGCAAAGTTAAATTCCATCAATATTCCTGGAAGCTACCCTGCATTCTAACTAATAAATATAATTGCTGGCACTATCCAAGCAGCCTACTTTGAAGATGAGATAGGTTATCAAAGTGAGTTCTTTTGCAATACAGAGACTAAACACAACCTAGTACAAACAGAGAAAAATGTTTGATTTTGAAAACTGCACAGACTTGCCAGGGAGTCCTAGGACAGTCTAAAGTCTTGCCTATGGTGAAACTCTCTGGCAGGACATCCCTGGGGCAGTTATCTCAGCACAGTCACACCTTTACCAAGATCCCTGCGTGTTTCCTGTTGGGATGTGAGTGCTGCTGGCTGTCACTGCGCAGGCAGCCCTGGAGCTGGAAGATGGCTCAAATGGAAACTGGCTGCTTAAGAAGAGAAAATAATGCTGGGTGTGGTGGGCGTCAAATGTGCCCAGTGTTTGGCAGAGCTGAACTGGAAGCAAAGGCAGGCTGGTAAGCCTTCTTATTTTAGTCCCTAAACTCCCTGGGCTCTACTAGCAGCTGAAGTGCTTCTGTATGGGCAGGAAACATAAGCATCTTTCTGATGATTTTGAGTCCCTAATTGCCATCCTCTGGCCTTACTCCGTGCCAAGAAGTGGCACTGGAGCTCTAGTGAAGCAGCAACTGTGAGTGTAACTGCATCTGCAACAGTAGGTGTAGGATGAACACAGGATTCTTCAGTCTTGAGCTGGAGCAGAGTGAAGTGAGGTGGAAATGTCTTCCTTCTCCTTGCTCTGCTCTTGCCCTCGGGATGTAGGATCAAAACTCGGTTGGGTGGGAGGATGGTGCATGGGATTTCTTAACCTACAGGCAACTCCTTAGGGCAGCTGCAGTCAGGAAGGAAACCCACAGCACTGCAGCTGGCTGTGCCCTGGGAGCCACCCTGGGTAGCCAGGGGAGACTGAAGGTGTGTGAACCACGGCCAGATTGCCCGACTCCAAAGTGCGAGATCTGGGCATCCAGGCAGGACCTTCTTTTTTCCCAAAGGACAGCAATTTGCAGTCATTCACCTGCGTGAGGAAGGAGCCGTGGTGCACGGGCTGCCAAGACTCTGCCCTGCTGCCGGGCAGGAGAGGAAATTCCCTGGATTTGCCTTTCATCTCAGACAAGGACACGCCGTTTGAAGCGATCGCGCAAACCGCAGCTGGCACGGCCGGCCGGCGCGCACGCCGGGAGAGTTCAATAATTCAACAAGCAAACCCAGAGCCAGCAGCAGACTTGGGCTCCGGCCAAGGCTCGGGACGTTGTCCTAGCATCAAAAAACGCCTCTGCTTGACAGCTTGAGATCTCTCTGCTTGGGAAAGCACTGTCTGCCAGGGGAAGCAGAAATCCTCAGTCCACGGGTTTCCTGCTGCTCCAGTGGAGGGAAGGGGCTCATGTACTGATTCACACTCGTGTGGTGTGAGTTTTCCCTATCTCAGCAGCACAAAGGGACTCAGAAAGCTGGCTGGCTTTTGCCAAAATATTAGGAAATGCTGCTGTTTGCCCTAGTCCACACAGTAACCACCACGCGTTTTATCTTTTTTCTCCCTTTTTCCCCTTGCTATTCTTATCCTTTGTTTCTTCGTTTCTTTCTTTTTTATTTTTTTTTTCTCTCTTTAAATAAAGTGTATTTAGTGCTGGTGAAAGGTGCTGAATTGGCAGCCTCAAAGATGGGTGTCCCCCTACCCAGCCCAAGAGAGCCCTGGGGCTTTCTCTGGGCTTTGTCCACTTGGCACCATCCCTGTGTAGGACAGCTCACAGGTCCCCGGCTCCCCTGCCCTCTCTCATGCCTGCCTCTTGCTGTGCTGGCTGGGACACCCGTGGCTGAACATGACTCCAACCTCCCTTGGGTGCCACTTGTCTCTCTGCCTTCGTTTAGTGCCTAACCCAAACCTGACCCCAAGTGCTTCAGTGCAGACTGATTGTCTCTTCCTTCGTGCTCTCTTTTATCTGCCTTACTAAAGTGCAAACAAACACAGCTGAGTCACCCTGGGTGCTGCAGCCAGCTCACACCCGGGGTGCCAGAGAGGCAAGTGGGACACCCAACCCTTAACTTGCCCACTGGCCCCAAGCCAGGCTTTCAAGTCACACCCTAGAGGTGTTTGGCACATTCTCCCCTACCCCAAACACCAATACAAACGTGTGCTACCACTTGGCCAAAGGGAAACCCCTTTGCTCACCCATTCCCACCTCCCTCCACCCTTTCCCCATCCCCACCAAGCTGTGCCAGCCTCTGCCAGGTAGCAGAGAGGGGCAAAGCAGCCCGCTCCATCTTCCCATCCTCGTTAAAGGTAAATGCAGCACCAAAATAGATACAAAAATATAGTTTTGGGTCCATTGACCCAGCTTCACTATTAATATTACTGCTATGAAATGTCTGAAAATAAGAGCTGCTCTCTCTATACACACCTTCCCCCCCCCCCCCTTACTGACAGTATTGCCACATGCCCGGTCCTGTCACAACAAGGCAAGAAGATGCCTGTTTTCTCTATATTTTAAATACAATCACTTCCATCCCCCCATTGCAAACAAACATGGCAGAAAGGGGTTTGGAAAAAAACCAACCAAAACCAACCAAAACAAATGAAAGAAACCCTATTTTGAAAAACCCTTCATAATTTCTAGCATTCTGAATAGCATTTCTGCCTCCTGGGACTTGAATTCTGCCAGGTTGTTTGAAAGGACAGAAGGTACCTGTGATTTCTGATGAAGGCCCTGATGTCCTTCCTGTGTTTCCTTTGGAAGCTCTCTGATGGGGATGAGAGAGATAATGTATTTGCTTTCCTCTATGCAAAAGTCACAAGGTGTTTGATCGGCAAACCCATGACTAAAAAAAGTAAATATATAAAATAAACAACAACCCGCAGCCTCTTTCTTAAGTTTCCCCATCTATCTAGTTTTCAAAGTGCAAAACCTAGAGAAGCATAGAATTATTTTCTTGAGGTGTTTTTCCCCTTTTGTTAGGGCTTTTTTCCCCCACGTGCCTGACTGGTATGGCCTTTCTATAGCAAAAGTCAGATAAAGCATAATTGCAGTTGTTTCTGCACATGGAATTATGAATCATTCCAGTGACTTGAGAATCTAAGCTGTTAATAGGCTAAAAAAAGGATTTTTTTTTTTGTTCTTCTTCTTTTTTTTTTTTGATTGTTTTCTTTTTGCATTATAATTAAGCATGAATATATATTACTATATTACACTGCTTGGATTGCTGGAGCAATCCAAACCTTCCTATGCTGTAAAACTAACCCCCACCCTGCACTCCCAAGATCAAGAGTTTCTTTTCTCCTCCCTGTGCCAGTTGTCCTCAGTCCACACGATTAAAAGTCCCTCCCAGCCCCCCTCCCCATGTTTTTTTTTTTAGTAGATATTGCCGCATTCTTAAATTCATGCATTGCTGCATTGCTATTGCACATATATAAAGGATTGCTCGCTCCCTCCCGGCTGCTCCCCTCCCCTCACTGGTTGTGCACGTCCTCTCTGCGGACGATCTTGTAGATGATCCAGTAGAAAATGTTGAAGATGAGGAATGCCATGGGGAAGCCGATGCGGGAGATCTTGTCGATCTTCTTGGCTCGCTGGATGAAGAGCTTCCGCATCTCCTCGGGCGAGCGGGACGGCGGCGGCACCGGGTTGGCCGTGTTGTTGTTGTTGGCACCCTTGACAGAGATGCCATCCTTGGCTTGTAGGCAAGCTGGTCCCATCCCGTAGGCAGTGAAGTTGAACCTGCCCTCACCAGCTTCATCCTCCTGAAACAGATTCAGCATGGGACTCTACTTAAAATGAGATATAGACAGTGCACCCTCGCTATAAGGCTCTCCGCTGACAGGTTCCTGCTCTGCACGGGAAAGATGCTCCCACCATGCCCTGACCTCAGCACCCTTGGACAAATCCCCTGCTCTTGGGAGTTCAGCCTTATAGAGGGGTGCCAGCTGTGTGATGCACAGATGCAAATCAGGGGATCCAGGCACCCCATGGAGAACAGGACTGACTTCCACCCCATTGAGCTCTTTGACATATTGAAGGGTTTATGATACTGCTTTAATTTTTCCAATTGCATCCCCTGTTTTGCTTCTGCCTCTCCCTCCCCCCCCTCCTATCAGCACCTTCTTTGCTTTGCCTGTGCAGTTGCAGCTTGCCCAGAAGGAGTGGGCTCCATGTAACTCACGTAGTTGAAGCTACAGTGTGAGACTTCCTACAGAGTTACATGGATGTGCAGGAGCCAAGACCTGACCAAGAAAAGAGCTCTGCAGCCAGCGTGCAACCAGCCCTCTGCTTGCCTGCCCACGGGACCCCTCCAGCCCCACAGCCCTTCCCACAAGCCAACTTTTAGGTGAGGAACAGAAGTGCCCTTCTGTGGGTTGATGTTAAGACGTGGCTGCTTGTGGTAATGCCAATTACTGAGAAAATAATTTATTTTCCAATTTAAAGGCGAATGTTATTGCTGGCTTTTTTTTTGGTGAAAATCTTACTGGTGTCTCAGAATGATTTAGCCCTATTTTATTGAACAGAGGGATGTAACCATTACAGTCCCTATGTGCTAGGACCTATGTCTCCCCATGTGCCCCAGTAAATACAGACAGAATGAGTTTGGAGAGAGCTGTCTATCTGATCTCTCTAATCTCATCCAGAGGGAAGAAGTTAAGAGGTGGCTCAAAAATGGAAAGGGCCAAGTGAAACCTGACAACAGGTTGATTTGTTTTGTTGGGTTTTTTTTAGAGAGGAAGAAAGACTCCTAAGGATGAGGATAAGCTAGCACCTTGCATCTAACTGGCAAAAGTCAGAAACAGATTTTTCTGGATTCACTGGTATTAATGCCAGACCATGGCACTGTGTCTGGCACATTGAGCTGTGAAGAATAGCCAGTAGGTTTTGATGCAGACCTAATAAGTATGGGCATGGGCTTGTCCTCTCCCCAGCTGCCTCCACCAGCACGGACCACTACAACATCTCACTTGTTTTTAGCCTGGCATGTCATGCCTAAACCAAGCACAGCTACCCAGACAAGTCAGGACATCAGGACAGAGCAATTAGGCTCTTTGGCAGCTGCACTAACCCATTTGCATATTAGCAGTCAGATTTTAGTTTTCTGATGAGCCTGCAAACCTTGTTCACTTCGATTTTGCAAGTGTTTTTGTTTATGCTTTGTTCCAATTAAATTTCTGTGAGATTGGGCAGGGAGTGTACTAGCAGCCTTGTGTTCAGTGGAACAGTTCTGGCAAGTATCTCTTTAACTCGTCTGTGTACTAGTGGCTTTTTTTCTCTTTATTGTTTTATCAACAGACTGATCTGCATACAACAGCACAGATCCAGGGATAGGATGCCTGAATCCAGATGAAGAGATAAATGCACTATGAGGCACCCATGTGGGCTCAATTCAACGGGCTGCACCTTCTGAACCAAAATTATCTCCATTGATTTTGGGATGGCAGGGCCTTTTCTGGTCAGACAAAGTCAATGGGTGCTGATGGTCTCATCTGTTACTTATTTTCCCTTGCATTTGTCCCACATTTTTCCTCCCTGGACCTGACTGTGTTGGACACAAGTGAACAATTATGTCCTGTTTTACATATCAGACGACTCAGGCAGAGAGAGGAAAACCTACAACAATACAGGGATTCCTGCTCCTCAGCTCTCAGTTCCTATTGGAATGGGGGCAGTTCTCCAAGCATACACTGTGAACTACTACAGGACAGGTTAGACCTTGGGAAAGACTTTTAAACACTGGGACAGTGAAGCAATGAAAGGGTGGGAGGTCTCTGGGTGGGATGGATTGTGGACGACTCTTTAAAATAGAGGGTAGACAAATTTACCTACAAGGTATAAACAATATTCCTTGTTACCTGTGAGGAATATTTAAGGCAGACCTTGGTGGTCACCTAGGGGCTCAATTGAGATTTTCATCAGCAAAATTTTCTTTGTTTTTTCTTTCCTAGCAAACGTACTGTTTTTTAATGATAACCTGAGGACAGCCTCTCAGGCTGAAAATTTGCTAATGCCTTCCTGATCCTACCAGTTAATTAAGGACAACTTTAAGTTTTTGGCCTTTGATCACAGCCACCTTTGTGTTTCTTTCTAGTGTATTCTGTGAGGTGAAGTCTTTGCTGTGGCACCTCAGCCTAAAAGCCAGTAGAGCCCTGGCTGCAGGAGATGCATGTCATTGCAGCGCACGCTCAGATTGGCATCAGCCATGGCAGGTAAGCATGGAGCGAGGCTAAGGCTGAGAATAAAGCTATTTCCTTCCAAGAGGAATTTGCAGTCAGTCTGAGAAGCAGATGCTTTTGAACACGGAGATGACAGAGACAAAAGAGGTGTCACTTACCTCCAGGCTAAAGCAGGCTGCCTTGTTGGGGGGATGCTGTTCTCTGATAGACATCCCTCACACCTCCCTGCCTGCCTCCCCCCAGCCCTGGCTGCAGCTTCTGAAGAGGAGAACTCAGACCAGAACGTTGCTGTGTGAATTGTTCTGTTGTGAACAACTCTTTTGGCTTAGACCACTTGGCTGGCTAACAACAACCAGCCTGCTGGACCCCTGGGGTCAGCAGGCTGTTAGAACAGACACAATTAACTGAGGCAACTCTGGGTTTTGATGTGTGAGCCCCCCCTAACATCTGATCACATACTGAGGACTTCGCTGGGAGCTGATGAGATTTCAGCTGTGTCCTTCATGCTTTATGTATTACCTTATGATGCCTCCTCTTCCTTCTGAACCTGAGCAGCTCTTTGTGCTGCCGAGACACGAAGTTGACAGCAGCATATTCTAGAAGTGCAGAGAACACAAACAGCAAGCACACAGCCATCCAGATGTCTATGGCCTTCACGTAGGACACCTGGGAGTCAGAAAAAGAGACTGAGACGGGATGGCTTCTTCACCCAAATGCCTTTTTGTTGCCATTTTACGTGTTACTTCCAAGGTCTTTGGAAGAAGTTGACCAAGCCATGATAAGGTTGACATCTGCTCTTGGATACCAGAATCTAGTTCACTTAACATGAACATATTATCAGTTCACTGAAACTGCTCCTGGTCTCTTAAGCAGCAATAATTCTACAGTTTTTAATTTATCCGGGTTTTGATTGTGCTTTTTTATGTGCAAGAAAATTAGTAATCCAATCTAATCATAATGGAGGCCCTTCATAAAGGGAAATTCAATACTATTATAAAAGTATGATGGTCAACTGACTAAAAAGCTAAAATGTACAGGGCATGTCCATGTGGCTTGTTGCAGGGGTTTGTATGGTACAGTGCTCCTGGCTGCTGGGAGCTGTGGTGAGTGCTGAATCTTGAGGGGAAGTTTTACTGCTAGTCATAGAGAATCTAGAACTTTTCAGGATGGGATTGGAATTTTTTCTGTTTGCCCTTATGATGGAATAGTGCAATGGCAGCAGAATACCTCTTGTGTTGAGCAGGAGGATCTGCGTGGTGATTTACTTATATGCTATCCCCAGAAGGTGCATGTTTTGCCTCTGGTGAAGATAAGTTTGTTCCCTACCTTGGGCAGTGATGCTCGGGAACCAGAGCTCTGTGTGGTCATAGTGAGCACTGTGGTGATCCCCAGGCCAACACGAGCTGGTGCTGCATCCATGTTGATCCAGAACGAGATCCAGGACAGAATGACAATAAGGAGGCTGGGGATGTACATCTGGATCAAGTAATAGCCCATCTGTCTCTCCAGGTGGAAACGAGCTTCTATACAGGTGAACTTGCCTGAGGAGGACAGGAGATACATGGAAGATTACTGGCAAGGCACGGTGAGCCTCCTGTTTTCAGCCAATGTCTGAGGATTTTCCTTGCATTGCCTAGAACCAGAGTCTTGTTAGAGGAGGAAATGAACAGCTGTTGCCCAGTTCTGCAAGGGCATGTGGTGACAGGACAAAGGAAAATGACTTCAAACTGAAAGAGAGAAGGTTTAGATTAGATATTAGGAAGAAATTCTTCCCTGTGAGGGTGGTGAGGCCCTGGCACAGGTTGTCCAGAGAAGCTGTGGCTGCCCCATTGCTGGAATTGTTCAAGGCCAGGTTGGATGAGGCTTGGAGCAACCTGGGCTAGTGGAAGGTGTCTCTGCAGGGGAGTTGGAACTGGATGATCTTTAAGATCCCTTCCAACTCCAAACATTCTGTGATTCTATGAACATCAACATAGCAAGGAAAGCTCTTGGCAGTATGTCCTTTGTCACTTCAATTTCAAAGACAAAAGAAGATTCTTGGAGAGGAAGTCCAGACCAAACACCCTTGAATTGATACAGATGTTACTGGGGACAAGAGGATTTCACACATTTGTGTACATTAGCTTTTCACTAGCTATATATGTGTATATTTACTGGCAAAATACCTATGTGTATTTGTATGTCTGTTGCCCCTAGATGTGTAGGACAAGGCCTGTGTCAGCTGAGTGACATCACACACAGCAAGAGACTCTGGCAAATGCACAGTCTTGACTTCCTCTCTACTGAACCCAGCAGATGAGGGTAAACAGCACTGACCTGTGTTGTAGTGCTTTGTGCAGTATCTCAAGTCTTTTTCTTCTTTGAGGATAAACTGAGGCAATGTCAGCCCGTCAGCAACTTGCACCGCTCCTTTTTCTTGCCACTCAAATATGAGATCATTCATTGTATAGCCAACTGTAGAGAGGAGAGGACAGATACCATGTGAAAAACATTAAATAAAGGGACAGTGTTGCAGAAGAGATCCATGTTTGGAGGCAGGGGTGTGTCCTGACCTTCCTTGGCAATGCTGTCATGAATGGGATTTGGGTTGAGGCAAAACTGCTTGTGCATGTGATGAGAACCAAGGTGATGAGCTGCAGTGGAGCTGCAATGGTTTGCAATGAATTGTCTGTAATAAATCACATTTTTTCTTGAATTGGGCTTTGTTGAATTTGTTTTCTATTTTTTCCAACTCGACCTCTTTCTCTGGAAGAAGCTCCTCGTCCTTCCCTCCTTTGGTATAAGAAACATGTACAAGGGGCAGATGTTCATCCAGAGACACAAAATGCAGCTGAAAGCACTTTCACCCCTCTCCTCCAAAGTTAAAGGCCAATGTAAATACAAGCAAACCAGGGCTCCTTGCATGGGATCTTTTAAGTTTTGGCTTCTCTAGAAAATGTCACATATGCTGAATGAATGGAAAATCCTGAGCAAGAGGTTCTTGAACAAGACTCCAGTGAAGGCTGGGCTGGGAATGGGTTGCACCTGGGAAAGGAGATGGCAGGGGAGAGAGAGAGGGAAAACAGGTTGTCTCCTTTCTGAAATGGGGATGTGCACAGGACTCACAGCTTTCTAACTGCATGATGCACGTCTGTACGTCCATGGGGAAGTTCTTCAGGTCCATGGGGCAGGCCAGAGTCAGTGTGATCCTGAGGAGAGAAGAGAGCACAAGGGAATGCCAAACAGTTTGTGGTACTGCTGAGGAGTGAACCCCCTCAGACATCCAGTGCTGCAAACAGGCTGGGACCTTGCCTGAGACACACTGGTGTGCTGGGGGGAATGACTGATCACTGGCCACTTCCCTGCCTGTCTTCTCACACTTGGTGTTGGAAAGCATCAGAAATGCTGAACATTTGGGTCTGTGATATGATTCCCAGCAGAGTTGCCTGCTGCAGATGGTGTTTCATTGCAATGTTGTTTTAGACTGTGCAGAACAAAGAGTTCCCACACCAAACACTTCTGCTGCTTCAGTTTTCAGTTCTTGACTCAGGTTCACAACAGCCTGGATTAGCAGCAAGCCCAAGCCCAATATATGGGCCCCCAGATACATTTGTAGAGACTGGGACTGTTTGTAAATATCTGAATAGAACATTTGTGTCCTAAAAAAAGGAAAAAAAAAAAAGAAAAAAAACCCAACCAAAAAGAAATTTGTTCAAGATCATATGCTTCTGTGGGGGGAAAGAGAGACTTCAGTGGGATTTTCTGCAGGGAAAATGCCCTGTGCTAAGTCAATATGAACTTCTGTATCTTCCTGAATTCCTGCTGAGCCCCTTGAGACCTCTACTTCTGTCTTCACTTTCCACTAGGTGCAGGCTGCATTTTCTGGGGTATATTGCTGTGCTGCCCTGTACCATGATCTATGCTTAAAATGTTTCTTTGGTTCAATAAGCTGATACTGAATGATTTGCTTCAGATAGTTAGACTTGTGTTATTTGGTTTGATAATGTTGAAAATGCTGTTCCCTGAAGTGTTTAGGGTTTTCAGCTTTTTGCCTTGATGTAGAAATAGCATAACTACCCAGGGGACAGAAATTGAATTTTTCTATCATCAGACCTACAAGAAACTTATCAGAAGGGAAAGATACTTTAATTTAAAACCTTATGGTGGAAGAAATTCTCTGCTTGAGTTTAGAGGCATGTTGGGACAGAAGATGTGACAAAGTCCATCTTCTTGTAAATGCCTTGCCTAGAGTTTGATTATTGCAAATACAGTAGCCAAGAGCCAGTTAGAGAATGGCAGAGCACTTAAGAGAGCTTTTTTTTTTACAGGGAAAGACTATTTGTCCTTTTGGAAAATTTGCATTTACATTGTGCTCTTTCTTTTTCATTTTCATAGAAAAATTTACATATAAAGAAACCTATATTTTCATTTGGAGATGAGTGAGATAGCAAAGTGTGGGTTTTTTAAACAAGAACTGAAGCTGTTTTCAAGTTTTTGCCTTCGAAACAGTGATCAATTCAGTCATGTCCCCTGCTGAGCCATTGCTCTGTTTTGCAGAGCAAACCCTAAGGCTGGGCTGACCCATATTTCCTCTCTCTACTCCTGCAGACCCACGTGGAACAGGACTCTGTGCCATGCTCACTGCCAGGTTGCTGGTGGCAGTTTTACTCCCTGCCTGGTTTTAGAAATTAAGAAATGTGAGGCTTCCATATTCAGCCAACACACATGGCAATTCTCTTATTGTTTTGGCCATCAGGGAGCTGGTCTTTGGGCTGGAACCACCTTGATGTTTGATGGAGGTTGTCTAAATTGCAGCATTAAGGTGTTTATTTTCCATTTTACAGCTCCATGGTGCTTTTTTTTTCCCCCATGGCTGCCACTGGGAGCTGCAGTGTGAGATGGGGTGTGTGAACCGTAGACTAATTTACATTACACATGAGGTGAAAAAATCTTCAATATAGAGTTAAACTTTATTTATGCTCATGAAGTTTGATCTTAGTTTCATGGGTTTCAAATAAAGAGTGGATTGGGTTGGAAGTGAAGGTGGGGGATCAGATGGATTTCCTGCAGGAAATTCAGTGCAATTAGTTCAGCTCCACTGATGGGTTCTTGGCTCTAGTGATAAAGGGATAACTATTAAGTTGAGACAAAGCCATGGAGCCCTACTTACCATTTTCCCTAATTTTTTTTTTTTTTTTGTTAGGAAATGCTGCAGCTTTGAAAGCAGAGTTTTTATGAGCTTCTACTAGTTTTCACAGAGTACAGCTGGTTTTAGGCTCGTGCTAGTATAAAATATCTCAAGTAATTTTACATTAGGGATGTTATGGAATCTACTAGAGAGCAGCCCAAGTTCTTGGACTGGGAAATGTAAAGATCAGCTAGATTCCTTCCCAGAACAACCCTCTGTCTCAATATGCTTTGGCAGAGGTCCCTTCCCAACACATTGCTGTGGCACTGCTAATTGTGTGACCTCTCACCTTAAAAAACCCTAAACTTCTTTTATCCATCATCATGCTCTAGGCTTGAACAGTGGGAGTTCAGCTCTGTCCTCCCCTACCTTTGTGGGACTCTTCCCACGGAGTCACCTCACCTGATGCTGTAGAGGACATTGCCGTTTCGGGAGATCCTCAGCAGCTTGTTGTCTGTGGTAATCTCATGGAAGTGGGCCCCTTTTTCATTAGCAAAGAACAAGTCAGGCTTCCAGATGGAGTCCAGCATGGAGGGGTCCAGGTCCAGGGAGTCGTCGGGGTACTCGTTGTACGCCAGCCGCGGGTCGTTCCACTGCTGTCTCAGGAAGATGTTCACCCTGTAATCCTGCACGGCATGAACAGAGAGACAATCAGTGATCAGGGCAGGCTGAAAGCACTGAGAACTGGGGAGCACCTATTAAAATCATTCTCAAAACCAAACCATGTCCAGGCCTAGCTATGCCAAGCATTTTTGGCGTTATTTCTCAAGGAACTGTTATCAATTTTTAGCTTTGTAGCTTACGGCTATTTCATAGCATGAGCAGCTGCCTGTCCTAGCAACCCTGTGTTACAGCAATTGTCAGCTGTGTGTGAAGTGTCAGGACCTCTCGTCTGGACCCTGGGGCTGGAGAGGCACTTGTGGAGGTCACAACGGCCCCTGTCAGCAGGATGATGTTGCAGAGGATTAAGAGGGAGGGGAAACTGAAGCCAGCTTCCTTTCAGTGCTGAACCTTCACATATTGTGACTATCTGTGGTTTCCCCAGACTTGGGAAGGGAAAAGGCTCTGTGAGACAGGGAGTCCATGGAAGGGAAATTCCTGTGTGTCCAATAATATGAGGGTAACTCGGATGAACTGACGGGAGCAGCTGCCTTTGGTGAGAGTATGTGAACATGAGAAAGATGTGCCTGAAGTCTGCTCTGCTAATGCTCAGTGAGTGTTCTGGGTTCCCCTCTCTAATTTCAAAATGCCATAAATGCTGCAGATTTTATAGGACGGTCATCTTCTTTAATTGTAACTAGTCCCTCATCACTATGCAAAATTATACCTGCTTCATAACCACGAGTCTTACAGCTCCCCTAAGTTCCCTAGGCCAAGGCTAGCTGCTGAGGCTGAGCTCAGACGCTCTCCTGGACAATTAAAGGCAGTTTCTGTTCTCCCTGTCTGACCAATAGCTTCCCTGGGTGATCTGCGTGCTCCTTTTCTTCTGACTTTCACATGAGAAAGTGAGCCAACAAATTGAAATGGGGAGAGGATGTGCCAGCTATCAGGAGAGGGATAAAAGCTCCATGTCCATAAATTAATTGACATTTTCTAAGTATAGAGGCAGACTGAGTCTGAAGAACAGTCTGTAATAAACCCATTTCACTGCCCTGGCCCAAACCAATAGTTGCTCTCATGATTAAGGGTTTCTTGGGTGCCTTTCTAGTACTAATGTACTTTGAAGACTTTTATTAAGAGGCAGTTAATGGGGGTTGTGTCTGATGTGCTTGCTGGTATCTATTACCTGCTTCAGGCACTTGGTGAGAGAATCTCCCTGACTCTGCCAGCATGCCTGTTCTTTCCATCTGGAGAACACAAAGCTCTGGAGTTGAAGGGTGCATGTGTAGGAGAGTCTTTCTGATGTTGCTCGCTTGACTATGAACCTACAGCCTCTTGTCCAGGAGGACACAACTCCTGTGTGTCCAGTCACACTGGAGGGTTGGGAGAGGATTGTATTGGATGCCTTGTATTTTGGATGAGGCAGTTCATAGCCAAGCACATGGTCTAGAATCTGTTTCAGGCCACTTAGTGCCATCTGCGTCCTCAGAGCACAGAAGCTGCTAATGACATTAACAATTGTGACAACAGCAAATGAACCAAGCACTTGATGCTAAAAGAAGCAGACCTCTGAACATGAAAAAGACTTGCAACACTCTTTCTTTCTGCTGATGTCCCAAATGTCACCTTCACAAGTCCTAGTGCATCCCTCCGACTTAATTATTCATCTCTGTCGACCCTGGATAATGTGTCTTGAGAAAATGTGAATAGCTGAGGACAGCTGAGAGCCAGGGTCTAAGTGCAGGACCAACCAATGATGCAAGCCTGGAAGGGGAGAGTAACCCTGAATTTCCATTTTCCATGGCACACAGCAGCTCCCAGAACAACGTGTATGTTTTCAATTCTCCCTTTTCTGTGTGTAAAGATCTGCAGCCATTGCAGTCAGGGGAAATCAATGTCACTGACCTAATAGGTAGAAAGCAAAAGGTTGTTTTGCTTATTCAGCTACAAATAAGGTAGATGCGAGCAGGTCAGCTCCAGTTTGGGACTTATGTCATGTACAACACAAATTAAACTCATGTTTGGAAGAAACTTCAGCGGTAGCTGCCCAGAAGTGTGCTCAGCCTGATGGAGTGGTGGAAGGCCGGGGGGAATGGAGCCAATCTCCCTGCAACAGTCTGTGTCACTGTGAATAAGCTTTGTTGCCGGAGTAAATTCACTGAATCACCTTCAAAACTTGCCAAAAGGTAATGAAAGGGTGAGACAAGAGGTGTGGTGTGGTTTATGTTGCCACCACAGCAGGCATGAGAGACCACAGGCAGAATGACAGCCACAGTCTTTGTCACCATGATGAGGTATCTTACTTAAATGCCATGGGCCAAATGAAAATTAACTTCTTACAGTAGATGGCTGTGAGAAGGTCCCTCCTAACTCATCTCCAGAGTCAAGGTGTCCTGTACTCATGTCCTATGTGGAAACAGTGCAGGGCCATGTAGTGAATGTGTGGTGTGAGAGCTTGCACCACCTCCCTCCAAGGGATGAGCAGCAGTGTAGTAACTCAGGGTTGTGCTACTCTGTGCTCCTCCTTTGGAGATAAGTGTTTACAGTGCATATTTTTTGTTTTGGAATACAGATAACCAAGCATTTATGTATATATATCATATATATGATATTAAAAAGGCAATGACAAAGAAATATAATACATGGGCTGAATGCAATTCTCTGGCTTTGCCATTTTATGGCATTAATATTTCACCTCTCTGTGTGATTTTATGAAGGTCTTCCTACTCAGTGAGTTCACTTCACAGTCCTGGCCTGGCCATGGAGAATGTTTTCTCACAGATGCCTTTTCCCTTGTGTCAGGCAGCTGCATCACACTGGGGTATGGAAGGTTCTGAGCAGCCTTTTAGGTTCCTTGTGTCCAGCCTTATTTGAACATAAACGTAACAGCAAGCACTGTGGCTGCAAACTGGACATGACAGTGCCTGAGGAGCCAGCAGAAGGCATGGAGAGCAATTGGGGTATGTCTGTGGCTGTGACACAGCTAAGAGAAGAGTTACAGAACTCTGCACCAGCTAAAGAACCCGGTGTGCTGAAAGCTTTGTCCTGGGCACTGCAGTGAAGCTGAGGGGTGATGAGCCAAACAACACTCATTTGCTGGCTACCTTGAGATATGCAGCATTTCTCCTGGATGCTGCTGTATGAGATCTTAATTAGCATCACCAAGACGTCCACAGTTATTCCTAAATGATGGACACAATGGACCAATTTATGATGTGAACTTTCAAGCAAAGGAAAAAGAGGTTTGACTGGGGCTGCAAACTCAGCCAAAAAAAAAAAATTTAAAAATCTCTTTCTCCATATCCTTCTTATGACTGGAGTTCCTCATTTGTGTGCCAATCACATCCAGGCATTGATTATCTTGTGCAGCCTGCTCCTCTGGCTGTCTTGGGAGTGGGGAGCAGCAGCTCTGTGCAGTGAAGGCATTCAGGAGCTTTGCGATTTGGCACAAAAGGCATTTTACTCCCAAGGGGGAAACAACACAAGGCAGGAAGAAAAAAATAACTGAAGTGATCAAAGTAGTTCAATTTGATAATGCTGAAATGAAATTCTGCTTAGTGACCTCGCAAGGAGACAAGGAAACAGAAGATCATTTGAGACCTTTCCTTCCCAAGATCCCACAGCCTTGGCATCTGCTGCTGAAAGCAGTGGCAGGCTGGAGGCAGTGCTGTGAGGAAGGGATGGAGGCTGTCAGGGAACCCAGTGGGTTTCAGCCCCTGACTCAAGAGTTCTGTCAGAGCAGCCTCTGCACTGAGCAGTTTTGGTGAGAGGCTTCCCTTTGATAAATTGACATTTTGCTGATGGAACAATTAGGGTGGAGACTGAACTCCCTCAGAAGGGGATTCTGTGATCCCACCTGGGCAGAGCATAAGGGGCTTTAGTAGTATGGAGTTCATTCTCTAGAAAGGGAATGAGCAAACACCTTTAAGGGTACTTGCCTTGCAAAAGAAGCACTACAGCTGTCCACAAAAACAATGAGCACACCAGGAGCTGCCCTTGGAAGGGTTAATATGGCTAATAAGGTTAATAACCTCCTTACTTTATCAGAGCTGTAGCAAAATAGCCAAATTGAAGCCAGGTGTGAAACCACACCTAGGCCAAAGGGAGGTGCCCCTGAGGAGGAAGTCAGAAGAGGGCAGTGCCTGGTGAGGGGTGGGAGCAGCACCCTGGTGCTTAATAGGCGTGGGGTTCTTTTGTGCTGGAACCCAAAGCAGAAAGTTTTTCTGTGTCTTCCTGCAAAAGGAGGGGAAAGTTTATCTCTGCGAGCCAAGGATGGAGCTGTTGGTGAGTGAGTTGTATCCAGCGTCCTGAATTTCAAGTGTGTTTAGTTGTGAGGTCTTGTTCTTCAGCTCAAGGGTTTTTTGTGTCCTTGGATTTGAGTTGCATGGTCCCATTTCATGGCTTCTTTTTTTTTTTCCTCCCCTCCCTTCTTTATTCAATGCAAAGACAAACTCCAGCCACACACACAGCTGAAACACTGCAGCTCCAACAGTGAAATGGCAGCAGGCTGTGTGTTGTTGTGAAAACCTTTTCATTTTGTGCTGCATGACTTGTTATATGCTTATCATCTCTGTGGGACTGATGGTTGGGTTTAAGACTGACTGACTGCAGAAAACTTTGCTCAAAACCTAACCTTTGCTACAGGCTTTGTGCATTGATACTCACATCTTTTGCTGATCTTGGGGTGAGTGGGGCCGGTATTAAATGTGTGACCCATACACTTCATCAGACATATCTGCTGCACTGTGGCTTGTGAGGCTGGAATGAATTTTTTGGTCTGCTTTGCAGGATGGTTTATTTTCTTGTTGGAAATCTCATGTACAGTTGCCTCTGAGCCCATACTTAAAACTTGGACAGTTGCAGCCTCCAGCTTCTCCTGTCCTTAGGAGATTCTGGGAGCCTGACTGTGGCTGTGTTGCAGCTGGCTGGAAGGTCACATTTGGTTTGCTCTTTTCAGATGAGGTAACTATGGCATGAAAGCAGCAAAAATAAATTTGCATATATATGCTGTGTCTAGGAGAGCCTGCGCTGAGTGTTTTGTGATTTTCTTTCTTTTTCACTCTCTACTTTGCTGCAGGTTGGTCCTTTTTAAAATGTGGGACTGGATCTTGAGTCCAGCTCTAACTCTAGGTGATGATGTAAAAAAATATTCCTCCTTCTCCATCTGCATTCCCTGTGTACAAAATACTCCCAGCTGCCTGAGTCAGTGAGAAGACTATAAAATTGGGGCTTCCACTGAAAGAGAGAGCCCAAGGTATCACTTAATTTCAAGTTTGCTGTTATAGTAGGGAATTTGTTAATTAAATGCTCAGATAATCCTACCAGTTGTTTCATGCTACAAGGAAAAGCCAGAGCTGGTGCAGTTTATTCACTTGAAACCGAGACCTGTTCCTGAGATGACTGACTTCTGTTTGTTTTGAATGAGGAATTTGTATGTCTGCTATAGATTTTGTGGCCTGGTATGACTTGGGGGGGGGGGATTTGTTTATGCTTTTGAAGAGCAAAAAGGGATTTAATGTCTTGCGATTGAGGGTTGTTTGGTGTTTTTAATAAAAATAGTTGGAAAGAGTGGATGCATCTTGCACTTGTCCTCGGGAATCCCTTGCTGTTGGATGCACTATTGCAGTAATGCTTTAGGACAGGAGTCTGCACTTATCTGGCTGTTGTGGTTGGTCATATCTTTCCCCTGGAAGCACAGGTTGGGTTCACAGGGGTGTGTTCCCAGTCACAGGTTCCTTTGTCCTTAGAGCTCATGGCAGGTGAGGCTGAGGGATATAAGCTGTGAGCTGCAATCTAACATAAATGTCCAATCAATTATGTGCACCACTAGAGGCTTTTATGTGGAGTCTTCAGGATTCTTGAAGGAGTTACTTCCCTTCTCTAAGTCAGGTCTGCTTTAGGAGTTGCGTTTGCTGGATGACTTTTCCTTGTATTTTTTTTTTATTTATTTATTTATTTTAATTTCCCTTAACTTTACAGCAGTTTTTAGATCTCCATTTCTTGCCTTGTTCCTCTTGAACCTTTCTGGGGCTTTCTGCCCACTCAGTGGAGTCTGTGCTTTCTCTTGGCCCCGACTCATTTTCCTTCCTTCTGAGGTTTGTAGACTCGAGTGGCTGCATCAAATGCCCGGTTTGTTCTATTTTTCTGTATTTTCTCCTCTTCCTCTACCTTCCATCATGCCTTAAGCTGTGAGTGAGCACTGACCTCCAGTTTCTCTAATCCTCTGCATGGTGACCTCATAGTTTACACTGCTTTGTGATATTCAAGCATTATAAACTAAAATGATAGCAGTGATATTTTCTATAGGATGTAACAGCCCACTAAGGAGGTGTTTGAAAGCCTTCTCCAACTGCATATGTGGTATCCATAAAAACCTATGACTTCTCTGGCAGGTAGTAGTGCAACAGTTAAATATAAGCTGGCATAATACTCAGACCTGAACCTGACCAGGCCTAATGATGGGGGTTTAAACCATAATGTTCTTTCTCTTTTTGGCCAGTGAAGCAGCTAGGGGAGTTTTGTCATCATCAGTCACAGGGGTCAATGTTAGACTACAGCTTTCTTTATGGTAAAATATTGATTTGCCCTGCTCTCTCTCCTGCAAACTTCCACCCCTCCTCTCCTCCCCCTGCGTTCCAAACAAGTTCTACTTGTTTGACTTCAAAGTAGCCAAGTCTGTCCCAAAATCCCTTCACAACTGGACCGTCTGTTGTTCCCAGAAACTGCACTGGGGAGCTGACACTGCCTGTTTGACCTGCTGCATCCTCAAACAGTAGGGAGGGACTGGCTTCTCTACAGAGTACGTCGCAGGTTATGAATCCCAAGGACCCCTCTAGCTTGCTGAGATCTCCTTTTTAAATATTTCAGTACCTGTGTTGCTTGTGTTCTGGTTGGTGTTTACAAGCAGAATTGCTGTTCCCCAAGAAGTGCATTATACCAGGCTGTGTGCAATGCTGTGTCAGCCTGACATCTGGACTAGCTTGTCAGAGCTGCCTTGGATATTTCTAGACAAAGCAATGTGCCCAGAGGGTGTTCTTGGGTTCCCATGGGAATTTTTTTTCCTATGGAACACAGACTATGAAATGAGTGGCATCTGGAGAGGATAGCAAGTCCCTGCAGCCTGTCTTGGAGGTGAACTGCATCTCTGGCTCTCTCTCATGCTAGTCTATGCTAATTTTATGGAGCATCCTGCTTACAGAGATCATGTGGCATATTTGTATGACTGCTTCAGTGCATCTCACAATGTAGGACATATGCACTGAAAAACATGTCAATGGAATGTGCTCTGTACATCCCTCAAGGATCCTTTGTGGGCCTGCCCTGCTCCCTTGCACTCTGGATTGTCTCTGCTGGTTGTGTAGGAGCAGTATTTCTTGCCTGTAAGGCCAAAGGAGATATCCAATAAAATAGTAAATTAGCAGCAGATGTGTATTTCGGTTCTAGTTCTTCCTCTATTGCTTTATATACAAATGGATCCACGATACACTTCTTGCCTATGAACTCTGATAAGTTCTGCAATCCAAGTAGGAAATCTGTTTCCTTGTGCTTAGACAGAATAGCAGCTTCCCCCCCCCCATTACCAGAACTGAAGTACCCCCAATGCAAACACTTCCAGCAGAATGGTGTCAGAAGAGACTTATAACCCCAGGTGAATGGCTGTGGATCTCCTCTGACAGTGGTGTGCATGCCAAGTAATTTGTTCAAGTCAAGGGGTGTGATCTATATGTAAAGCCTATGAACTCCTGCCTGAATGCACAAAGTGCCTGAAGCTGGAGCTTGGCATTCTTCTTTCAGCATTTTTCTAGAAAAAGAATTACCGAAGGGTAATTAAACACCATATTTCTGGATTATCTTTAATTAGCACAGCAGTAAGGCACTGTACCTCCAGAGTTTTCCTTTGCTGTTCACTGATTATGTCACAACCAATCTTTAATAGTTTTCAGATGGAGCAATTATCTCCTGTTCTAGTGATCCTCTGCTCCTAGTGCCTTGCCAATTACATACAGCCTTTAGCCATACTCACTAATTTTGTATGAAGTGAGCCTTAACTCACAAATATTGGTTTTGATTTTCTATTAAAAATCATTTTCTACCAGAAATGTCTCCAAGAAAATAATCATCTTAATCTTTAGTCTAATAATCCTAATAAACTTTGGGAATCTGAACTATGGTGGAAACTAAATTTGAGTTCAGCTGATTTTCCTTCTCTTTGAATCCAGATTCATTCTGGATTTATGCCCACTTAAACAAAAAGTACCTGCAACTGCCTCTGAGCTTGGAGCCTCAGGCAAGTCTTCCAAAAAAGACTGTTTGCTTCCCTTTCTGACTGTTGTCCTTTGCCTGTGCAGTGTTTTTGTAAGAGGCAGACAGAGGCTGTGTGATCTTCAGCTACATGCAGTGTGAGTCTTGTGTGTTGACCATTAATGTGCTCAAACCTTAGGTAAGCCTGGGGGCACTGAGACAGTATTTTTCCCTGGTCACACTGAAGAGGAGGGTGATGCAGTGTTTTCTGGGAGTGCAGTGAGGCTGAGCCAGTAGCTGAGCAGCTGTGCTGTGATTTTTACTTACCATAGTTGTTTCTGCAATCGAGCCAAAGCTGTTGATGAAAATGTTGCAGCTGACGTTCACTGGCGGGCCTGCATGACAAGTACAGATTGGAACAGCAGTTCAGTGTGTGCTGTAAGACAGGGTATTTCCACTCTGTGGAGTTAAAACCTATTGTGGGAACTGGGTGACTGAGGGGTAAGTAGGGGAGTAAGGTCTGGATGACCTGGCTTGGTCTGGTCTTGGTTCTGAGCCAGTTTGACACCAGACAGTGTTTTTGCTTCACCTCTGTTCCCCTGTTTGGAAAAATGTTTATATATCTCAGCTGTGGACTGTTCAGATGAAAGGCAGATCAGAGCCAGGCAGGACAGCTTTCCAGATAGCTTGACCTGGCTATATGGGTGGCAAGCTCACCTTGAGCGTGATAGCAAAGTAACTCAGAAAAGAGCTGAGAGACTATTGACTTTCATTTAGAGCTTACTGATGAAATATTCATATGAAGTACCTAAATGTTGCTGAACTAGGATGATGTGCTCCCTACAAAGGCAGTGCAGCACAGTGTGCTGTAAGGGTCAGGCTGGCTGAAGGAACAAGTACCCCATGAGATGATGGTGGTGTTTGCTAAGGCTCACAGCTGCATAGGAGACTTCAGGGCTCTGCCAGCAGAAATTCTCTGGCTGTCTTGATTTGGTAGAGGGTATTCCCAGACTCTGGGCTGTGCCTCTCCTGGGCTTGATTTGCTTTCAGACTGAAGCTTTGCTTAGCTGCTCATATTGGAAAAGGTAAGGGGCCACCAAAGGAGTGAGTGAGGGTTAAAGGGGTGAAAAAATTGTGGTTAGAGGCCATGGGGGTCAGTCTGTTTGTGTGGTACTGGTGCTCAAAGGTATCAGTATGACTTGGAAGTGTTTCACGATATTGCCTGGCAAATCTGAAGCGGAAATGTTGCATTTACACAGAGGAAGATGCCAAGAGCTGCAGTTTGGGACAAAGCAGAAAGCTGGAGGAAATTTTGGAACCAGAGCGTACCTGGTGCCTGGAAAACCAGTGGCTTGCCCACATGTAATAAAAGGATTTCTGTAAAGCCTTAATAAGGGGAGGGGAAAAGGAAAAGGGGCCTCTGCTCTGGGAGCTCCCAAAGGACCTGCTGCGGGTGCTGCCTGGTGTGCAGTGGGGAAAGGCAGCTCAGGCAGAGAACAGACACTGCCCCAGGGACCAAGATCCCCATCTAACACTGGAGGAATTAATCTCATATCATCCCTGTGACAGATGCTTCTGGAAAGATAAGATCTGTGAAAGTGGAGAGTGTGGATTTTTAGATTGTTCCCCCATTCTCTATGGAGTCAGGGATGGTGTCTGCACTTCAAAGGCTGCCTGATGGCTCAGCCTGCTGGGGGAGTGATGCTCCTGTTAAGGTCACATCTGCAGTCTGACACTCACTGCAAGATGAAATACTGGAGGGGGAGGAATGGTTTTAACCAGAGGCTTGTGCCTCTAATCAGTGCAAACGTCCTCCTGTGTGGCAGTTAATGGATTTTCCTGATTACTAAGTAACATTTGGAGCTTGGTTTTCTCATCTTCATTTCCCTTTTCTCCTCTTCTACTTCAGCCTCTTCTGAAATTTTGTGCCTGTCCCCTGTGGGATTAGGATTGCAGCCACTTGGCAGTAACGCTATATGGGTGGGATTTCCTTGGTACAAGTCCCAGGCAATCCAGGCAGGCTCCTGCCTAACCAGCTCCCAGACAACGACTGCCAGTTCAAGCAGCATCTCACACTGTTCAATCTGTGCAGCTCTTTCTCCAGACTATTAAACATTGGCATGGGTTAAACTATCAGACACAAAATTATATATATATTTTTTTTCCCCTTTACCAACCCCTTTTATCTGAAAGCTTGGCCAGCAGCTGAAAGCACACAGTTTATCACGCTTTAGCACTTGTTTTATCCCTTCTGTAGTGCTCCTTTTGAGCTCAGGAGCATTGGTTTTCTATTTTGGATCCATCTCATGAGCCACACGGAAGGTCCATGTGCATGTGATTCCCCTCCCAAAGGGCACATTATAAGGAAAATATTGAGCTGGTCCTGTGAAGGAATACAGTTTTCCAGCAGTAGGGTTGAGGGTACAGCCTGGGTGAGGGTCCCTTGTCCCAATGCCTCATTCTGCTCTGTCCCTGCCTGAGTTGCTCACTTCATTCTCCAACTTGAGTCAAACCCCAGAAGCTTCTTCCTTGTTCTCAGAATGTGAATCCACAGCTAAGTCCAGACTTTACAGTGTTTATGGAAAAGCTGCAATCTTCTTTTTGTTAATCTTCCCCTCCCCAAAAATCAATCGGATATGGATCTTTGGTATTATTTTCATTTAGATCTAAGCAATTAAAATGTCCTTATGAGTTACTGCAGTTAATTTAAATGATGTGCTTTGAGAGCTACAACCCCAAGCTCTGTAAAACACCTCCTATCCCTCCCATATAAATTGGAGCCTGATTTATGTGTGGGAGGCTAAGCCAGCAAAACTGCCCTGGGGGGAAGGTGTAGTTCATTGAAATAAACCCGAAATTAAATTATCTCAAATAAAAATGCAATACAGCTGCCTCTAGCAGGAAGTTAATGTATACATTTCATTAAATATTAAAGTTTAATTTGTGTGTGTGCATAATTTAGTGGTAGGCAGGTTTACAGGGTGGCGTTTTAACTCTTTGTGATTTGGGTAAGAACAGCAGTGCTCTCTGTTGCCTGGTTGATTACTGGGACACGAGGTTCCCACCTTTTTTTGGGTTTAAAAGCCCAGTACAGAGCTAATTGTTTGAAGCTGGGTGGCAGGTGCTGTCACTGTGATTAATGGGTCCTGGGAGTCCTGTGTTAGCACTGCCAGTGACTCCAGGGAGAGGGGGAACTGGTAGGAGGAAATAAAAGAACTGAGCATTGAAAAGGGCTGGGCAGTGGCTGGGGGGGGGGGGCAGATCCTGCTTTATCTCTGTGTGTGATTCAAGGCCAAGTAGCTCCAGGAAGGTGAGCTCAGTTAAAAAGAAAAGGAAAAAATCATAGAATGGTTTGACTTGGAAGGTCCTTAAAGACCCTCTAGTGCCAACTTCTCTGCTGTGTGTGGGGACACTCTCCACTAGGCCAGGCTGGAAAACCCAACCAAAAAACCCCAAAACCAAACCAACCACACCACAAACACCAACCAATCAAAATAACCCAAAAAACCAAAAAAGACACAAACCCCACCCCTGTTAGAAGAGGTGTTTTGAGGAGCAAAGAGAGAGGATCTGTTGCCTCTGCCAGGGCCGGATTCAGTGCTGTCTGGATACCAGTAAATACAGGGTGGATTGTAAAAATTGGGTGTGAAACAGTGGAGCTGTGTTGGGCTTAAGAGTTCTATTACTGTGGGGGACAGGGATGGGTCTGAGCTGCCCCTGGATCCTACTGAATTTCTTTGGAGCTGATGGGAGAGACTCCTCTTGGCAGTGGTGGGTGTAAGGGGGGAACATTGCCTGCTATTAGAAGGTGCTGTGGGCAGTGACTTCAGGGGAAAGTTTTTCTCTTAACCTGTAAGATGTTCAGCTCCCTGCCAGTCACTGCTTGGTTTGGCAGGATCCCCGATCCCTACTTCAGTGTACACTCCCTGTGTGTAAAGTTTTTACAAGGTTGTTTCTACTCTGAGTGGACATCTCTCCATGTCTTCCCAGATATCTACAAGGGATCCATGTGCCAAATATAATTAAGAACACAAAGATTGTTCATATTCCATATACAATTAGGGAGGTATTTGGGAGGATTGCAGGCAGCTTTCAGTCTCAAAATGAAACAAAGCTGGGTTTTTTCATACCTTTAAAATTTGGTCTGATCCTGGCATCGTATCCCGAAGTTCGCCCCATCAACTTATCCAAGAAATCAGAAGGAGACATGGGTTTGGGGGCAGATCGTGCTGCTGCTTCAGCTTCTTTGGAGGCTGCCAGGCTGTGTGAGTAGAAAGAAAGAGGAGGTTTTAGTGTGCATCCCATACTGAGGAGGGTTTGGGGTCCAGAAACAGAGCAGTCAGCATCTTATTCCTGCTGAGGCAGGATGGGCACCCATGTGAATTCCTAATGAGGCTGGTCTCAGCTAATTTGTTTGCCCAGCCCAAACATCTCCAAATACAGAATCCCAGCTGCCACCAAAGTAGAAGAGAGATGATGAGTAGTGAAAATCCTTTTGTGAGTTTAGGTATAGCTCCTTGGCGTGCCACTAAATTACAAATGTGAACTCTGGCGCTGAGCTCCGCAGGTAAAATACACTCTGAGATTAGCCTTGGGCTGCAATTACTGCTTAATTACATGGCAAATAGCAAGGAGCATATTCGGTACTCTGACAGCCCGATTTTCCAAAAGGCAGGTAGGATCAGAGCAACCTGGAATTTGAGGTTTAAATGAGCATCACCTGATGGTACAGCTCATGCAGAGCCTTTGGGACTGTAGGGGAGAGAGGTGGTTGTGCTTCCCACTTGCTGATCAGTCCAGCATTTGCTATTGGTACCTGCAATGCAGGGTCTGAGTTCAGCTCAGCAACACGGTCTCTGGACTAGGAGATGTCTGGACGATGATCCTGAAATCACACTCGTGTTGGGTTGAGGATGAAAGCAAATGGGGTGGTTTTGGGACCCATATGGCCTCTGGGGCAGACAGAGTGAAATAACCAATTTATCTGTAGAAGATGAAAACCTATGACTGGCAATGTTCCTTCTGGCTCAATGGGAGTCTGCAGGGTGATGATTTGGGCTGTTGTTGCCATCTACACAGGAAGAAGTGACCCCTGGTACTACATGCCCATTCTCAACTTTGAGGATGGTTTCACTTTCAAGACAGTTCCCTCCCTTTGGTTATGTGGCTTCTACTTGAACACCAGTCTGTTCCCATGCTGAAAGTGTGGTGTAAAATTGCCTAGATTAGCCAAAGAAAAAACAACCTTTGCATTGTTCTTAGGGCAAGAGCTGTCTCTGCCTGTGGGCTCAGTGCCTGATGCTGGTTAGAGCCTGCAGGCAGGATTGCAAGGCAAATGTATCATGAGTCAAAGGAAGCTGCTCAGGAGGAAGTGAGGCTCGTTGCTTCACACTTTGCAAAACTCTTGAATTTTTTAAAGTACAGAGGCTGTGTGGGAACAGTGAGAAGCCACTGACAGAGCAGCTGGGAGGCCTGAGAATGTTTGCAACAGGTACGAGATATTTAGCTAGATGTGTCCTCACAAGTGACAGCATGAGGGCCTGACCTTGGGAAATTTTGCAGTAGTCAAACCTGATGGTTTTTGAAGAGTAGTGCTAAGTACTGACACAAGGTCTTCTGGGAAGAACTTGGGACAGTCACTGTGTGTTGTATTAATGTGATCCTGCCCTCAAAGACCTGTTCATCCAATGCAAGTTTGAGCAGAGGCTCCAAAGACACAAATGTCTTGATAAGAACATTTTGAACCACTGAGGTCCTCAGAAATTTTAAAACTGACAGAATTCAACAGTGCTTGGGTGCCATAATTTCAAAATCAGGAATCTAGTACCCTGCATTGCATTGACTTTCTTTTCTAGTGTCAGCAGTGATGGCTTGCCAAGTGTTGGTTTTCAATCCTGCAAACTCACAGCTGCAGTCTGGCTTCCTTTGTAAGCTGCAACAGGGTACTCTGATTACCAGGTTTTTAATGGTTAAAAATTGATTAATTCCCACAATGAAGAGGGGAGATGAATTCCAGGCCACTTCCACTGAGAGTCTAAAACTAGGGTTTCATTCACTTCTTCATATATTCACAATCCACTGCCACACTGGCCATGTCTGAGCAGGCTGATGCACACTCATGCTTGGTGTTGACCTGACAAGTTGTGGATCTCACTTTTACTACAGCCACACTGCCCTTTCTTATCTTATCCCTATCTCTGCTCTAAGGAACTATACAAAGCCCAAAACAATGTGTTTCAGGGGTAAATGGGGTTGTGGAATGGGTGATGGTTTTAATTTAATTATTTTTAGGAGGAAAGCAATGGGGTGCAATTGATTTGCAAACTCAGAAGAAAGCTGGGGGTGGGAGGACAATCAATACTGGGCTCGACTACTGCATTGCAATGGAGTGTCTGCATGGCAATGAGTCCAGAGAAAAGATTTCAATTAAGCAGCAAATGACTTGGTAACCAAAGACTCCTGCCACTTCAGCAACAAGATGCCAAATACTGCAATACACTGATTTCTTCTCATTAACTGTTAACTGGAAGAAGTATATGGAAATGGAAAAGTGGGGGGGATGAGGCAATACAAATCTAATAAGCATCTAATAAGCTTTAAGTGGAAAAAGATAATTAGAAACTGCAATTCCCCTGGCATTTGTTTTAAAAAATGAGGTGAAAAGGCAAAGAAATCAGTGCTGAGCTTTCCTGTGAATTCAGCGTGAAAGCCTGTACTGAATATGTTCACTCACAATAAGTTAGTCTGCTGGTATTCTTTGGGTATCACTTTCTGATTCTTTCCCAGTCAAAGTTGCAAGTAAATTAATTTGATGGGCTCAGTTCCTACATGGAAGTATTTATTTAGATAACTGAATCCCAGAAGCATCTGGGAGAGGATCAGACTCACAGCCCCACTGCTTTCTGCAGCTTCATGCCCATCTCTGAGCAGTTCCTGGGAACACCTTTGGGGAGGTGCTGGAACTGTCAAACATGGTTTAATGCCTCCTAATATGTGTTTTTAAATCTATTTGTCTGCTGTGTGTTGTTACCCAGGTGACCTGGGAAGGATGAGTTCTAGTTTTGTCTAGTTTCTCTTTGGTTATTAGATGTTTTCCTATAACGACCTGGTAACAGCTTCCCCCTAGATTTAATAAGAAAAGGCAAGAAAGGCAAGGGATGAAGGAGTAGCAAAGCCTTTCCAGCAGCAGGCAGATGAGTCAACTCTCTAGCTTAGAAGAAATAGTAGAAAACACCACTGGGAACTACAGAGAGGCTGGTCCACCCCACTGTGCTTTAGATGGATGGTTTCTCTCTAACAGAACCCCAAAAATCTTCACTCTGGTTGTGACAACTGAGCTTTGCAATGGCAGTTTAGCTCAGACAGCACTCAAAATACTACTAGCTTCTGTTCTCTTCCAGGTCTGTCTAGACCAGTGCTGTGGGCTGCCTTGGGAGCTTTCTGGGATTTTCTCCGTGCCTTTACTTCTTACAAAAGCACCTTTGAAAGTCCCACAGGACTGTTCATCTGCTGGCCCAGCAGAGGCAGGGAGAGTGACTTGAAAATTATTGACAATAGAAGGGAATTGGAAATTTAGAGTGGGTTGTGGTGGTGTTCAGAGAGAAGATTTGATTCTGTGAATAAACAAAGGGAGGCAAAGCACGTAAGCACCGAGGCTGTAGTTTGCATTGGTGTAAGAGTGTTGTCTGAGCTGGGTGTCTCGGCGCATTTTAATAGCAGTCAGACAGCGGCTTATCTTATTTATGCTGGTGTAATCCCTAGTGGATCTGGCTGAGAAAGTGCCATCAGGCAATCATCACAGCCACTACAATGGGAAGGATCTCTTCAAAGGGTCGATGAACTAGCATAATCTTTTGTGATATTAATGCTGGTGTGTAAGCAGACACCAGCAAGCCCCCAGGAGGTGCAGCCCACGAGCAGGATAGGAAGGTGAAAGCTGATGGAGATGAGCAGCCCAGCTGCTCAAGATTGCATTCCTTAAAACAGAGCAGTCAGGCTTTGCAGGACACCTATCACTGGTTTCTCTGTGGCACTGTTTACTCTGTCTGCATTATTTTGTTTCATCTAAACAGATGATATATTCTTATAAACAGTTATTTGGTTTAGAAAGTGGCTCTTCTGCAGTCTGACCACGTCTGTTTGTTCAGTTCCTGGCTCCCCAGTTGACTGTTTCATCCTTCTCCTCTCATTTGCATGGTCCTTGTGCATTATTGTCATGCCTTTTTTTTTTTTTTTCTTTGGGTGTGCCCATGGCTGTCCATCTAATTAAGTCCAACATCACAAACTGCCCTGTTCTGATTGAATGCTGATACTAAGAAATAATTTTTTTTATTCTTTTTAATTTATTTTTTTTAGTTTGCAAAGAGGAATGATGAAGGAATTTAATTAGCACAGGGCCTCTATTCCCTTGTCAAATAATTTAATTGTTAATCATTAATTCTGGATGTAAAAAAAAAATCATGTCTGGAAGCAGAAACAAACTGTTGCAAAACAAGTGTTTGCAGAGGAAATACCTCTGCCAAGTGTGAAAGGCTCAAGTCCCTGTGAGGATAAAGTGGTACCACATCAGTGGCTCGAGAGAACAGCACTGGGTTTATTTCTCTGGTTGGACTCAGAAGAAATAAAGATACCTAACCCCTTACCCTGGTTCAGTGCTGCTCAGCAAAGCTTTCTGATGTGGTTTGTTGGGAGTTTATTTTTGAAATGCAGCAAGCCAGAAAGCTTGACAGGGATGTGTTGGGAATAGTGTTCAGGTGAGCTGCCTCACATTTGTCCTTCAAATACTGTGTATTCTGTAAGTAGATATCCCAGGGGAGGGAAATATCCATCAGGTCTAAGGCAGGGTGAGGTGAGCAGAGTAACTGTTTCCCCTGTTACCTTTAAAGCCAGGCTAGAGCAGTGTGGGGGCTCAGGGGCACAGGAGAATTCATCAGTTCAGCTTTATTGACTTCAGCAGGCTCCGAGAGGTGCAATTGCAAAGAGAACATCAGATAGTTGGGCACAGAAAGGCATCGTGCTGTCCATGATTAACTAGGATTGCCCAGGATAACTCTCTCCTTACTCTCCTGGAACCATCTCCCTGGTCCCTTGAGCAGATACTGGAGCTCAGCAGAGCCCAGCCTGGATTCAGCCTCTGCCAATGCTGGAGCTGCCTGTCTCCATCTTGTCCTCAGCAGCTGGAGAGAGGCAGGAAGGACAGACAGAAGATTGTCTTGGCGAAATGAAAAGGGGCAGCCCTAAACTCTGCACCCAGACTGTTAT